ACAGTAATATGTTGAGGGGGTAAAATGCGTGGATTGGCTGATCATTTTTGTAACAATCTTTGGAAAGGGAAACTGTCGATTTACCTGATTGGTCAAAAACGTTAAGAAAAAGTAAAGGAAATAGTAATTGTCTAGAGAGCGGTAATTAGCTTTCAGGTATAGAGTGGTATCCTTTAGCGACGGAAATGGGCAATCCCGTGCGCAATAAATAATCACCATAGCAATTGAAAAGGTACCTTGAAAAAATGTGAAAATAAATCGACATATAACGATAAATGTTAATCCCCGACAAACAGTTGCGAACAATAAACTTAAAAATTCTTCGGCGCTAAAAAGTTAAATTACTATGCTTGGTGGTATCGTAAAGTAATAAAAAATGGTGATACAGAGCGGAATCAGTTTTCGAAAGTGTCTGTTATAAAACAAAAGTTTCAAAAGGCGAAATAGCTCTAAACGAATAATTACTTTTATCCGAACGAAATCCTAATCATGCTTTTAAAGTCACCGCGCCGTGTACAATCATAAGCGCGCATCGGTCCTTCGAACAATGAATACTATTATACGGAACATACTTACCTGTGTTGTTAACCGTTGTCAATGAACAGATTATAAAAAAGTATAATATAATACAATTGTCTGAATACTACGTACAGAAATCAGACGTGCACCGAACAGAAGGTATGAAACGTACGCATAGCTTCAACGATAGTAATATTTTTTCCACAAGCGAAATTAAAAATTCCAATTTATCCGTATTTTTTCTTTGGACCCATAGTTTATGTATGTGAAATTTGATCAAAATGGAACAACGTTTTATTAAAAAAATTTGCAAAATAATGTTGATTTTTAACATATTTTTTAAACAAATAAATTTTTCAAAAATCCACTTACGCCATATTATTGGCCTTTAAAAACAGAAAAATTTGCACTTTGAATTTTTCGTCTAGGCCTAATGGTTCCCGAGATATTTGCGAAAATAGTTTTTTCAACCCCAACTTTAAGGGTTATTTCACCACTTCAGAGTGGATGTTTGCCGATAAAAAAAAAATACGTGTCAAATATTTTTTCGAGTTCTATAACATATAAAAATTTCATCAAAATCGGCGTGTATCAATTGGGTGATGTCCCTTGTAAGATGTGAGCTACGTATTTTCACTCAGAAGAGTAGTAAGCGTTCTAACTGCACGCGCAATACTCGAAATGGCGTGAGCTGACGTGCAGTGTGAACGTGCGCCATTTTTTTTTTTAAGGCACTGATGTGTTCGTTCATTGTCTACTTTGGCGTTCCTGATTCTTCCGCTGAGTAAACTTTTCTTGCTTCCTTTTTCGCGAGCTTAACCCGCGTGGAGCATTTCTTTCCTGCTCAATTGCAGTTGCGCATTCCATTCATATAATAAACTATAAGTCTAACAAGAAAAAACCGATCATAATGTTAGTACCATTGTTTCGTTGATCTTAGCACCCTAGCTATCATCGCGTCTGTCACGTCGAAAATATTGAGTATCCTCTCATCACTCAAAGCGATATTTAACCGTCCAGTCACGTTAACTTTCTGGAAGCAGTAATCCCCGAAAGACTGCCCCGGTTTCGTCTTATACAAAACCACTTCTCACAACATCTGCGAAAATGACATTGCCCGGCGAAATTGAGCCACTAGTAAAACTTTTGTTTCCGCCCATGTTGTAGCAATCTGTATGCGCATATCATACTACTGGCGAGCATGACCTTGCAGCCTTGATGCGATTAACCGCATTATACACAAATGATCTCATGCAAAACGTGTGGCCATTTCATCCACACTTCTTATCCGGTTCGCAGTCGACACATCTTCCTTCACTGGGTCATATATCAGTATCAACATTTCATCCCCCGGGCGCATGAAAATAGGGGTCCTGGCGCACGACAACGTGCTGGTCGCATTTTCGTTTCCCGCTGTCGACACGATCGGCGAGATTCTCCTTAACCCATCTTCGCGAACTCCGCGATCAGGCGAATTACGTCTCTCTGTAATTCGCGAACGCAAAAATGAACGTTTACGTGAAACACGTTTTGGACTACGCGAACGTGAACGCGAACGTGAATTCATAGTCAAACGACGCCTCGATAGCGCGGGATCGTTCACATGAACGTGACATGCGGCTTACCACGCGTGAATGTGAATGTGAATGTAAACGCGCGTCCAAATCACGGCCCTCAACAACGCGCGATCGTGCATTCGAACGTTCACGCGACGCACGTCTCACGGTATGCGAACGCGAACGCGAACGCGCATCATGCAACTGCGACGATGCATGTAAACGTGATTGACACAAGAACTCCATCAAGTTTTCTAACCGTCCGAATTGCAATTCTGTCGTATTGCTTGCTTTATTGCGATCACGACTGCATGACGCCATTGTTTAAATCAGAGTTTACTATACTACAATAAATGTCTAACACTAAGTCTTATTTCTAATTGCACACTCTTACTTCCCACGATATTGTGGGATTAAAGTGGCTAGGGTGGTCAGTTGGTTAAGGGTTGCAAATTATTAGCCATGCAAATTCTACGCTATCTTTTCGATACCACACTTTTCTACGCACTGTGCACACAGATTCCGCGTAGTTCTTATGTTACTACGTTTTTCTACACACTGCCCTACACAAAGGGTTTTTGGGTGAACTCGTTGACCTCTTTCTTCTATTTTCTTCTCTAGTGCTTTAGTGCATTTCTCCTGAAAATAAAAATATTACGCTACATGAGGGAAGAAGCGCAATACCTTTCTTGCACCGTCAAGTCAGCGAACTTCACATTGACACAGTGACTCTATCCTAAGCTATTTTATTCTACATTAATTTACAAACGTATGTCTAACAGGTCTCACCATCCTAAAATATACACATACACACATATACTATATGTATACTACAATGTTTAAACAATCAAATGTCCGGATATGGCACTTGCTATCAAAAGTCTCTCCATGGTGTAAACGAATGTTTACCAGTGTGCACTGTTGATATGTTAATACTTGTGATACTGACCCAGGCTTAAGGGACATATCGCCTACCCTACTTTGAACAGTCCCAATCTTCTAACATTCGAGGTGACCACTTGAAACATTTTGCGATTGTTATTATTCTTTGATCCAATTGTTCGAAGTGACCGATCGAACAAATAATTCCTACCTTCGAAAATACGTATGAGTCTAAGAGTCCATGTTTCTGTTCTGACTAATTGGGGTCGTAGCCCTTCCGTAGCCCGGTCAGAACCCTGGAGTCACATATACGCCAGGAACAGGGTTGTCTATAGTCTGTCCCATTTTTAATTTTGTAAGAACTCAGGAAAAGGGATCAATGGGGCGTGACATTATGAAACAAGATTGGATTGTTAGATAATTCGTTTATTCTGTGGCGTGTTTCCACGTCCACGTCAGAACAAGAATGCCTTATTGGTAAAATTTTGGCCGCAAAAATACCAACATCACTAGGGCTCTTGACAGCTATTCATTTCCCTTTTGAACTCGAAAATCTTTCCCCTGCGACCAGGAAAACAGCCTACCAAAACGCACAAGGTCCATTTTGGCCTTTCGCATTTATACAAATTTAAAATTTTTTAACATTAATGCTGTTAAAATATTACAAATTCTATTTTTTAGCAATAAATAAGTAAATATAGATCGATATATTTCTGTTATTATCACACTGATAATATTGATCTGTATTATAGTAGACAAAAATTCCGCGAAGATTAATTAGATAAGTATTATCTTTGTCTGATATAAATTATAGTATGTTATAACACACAGACGTTTTTGCATGTTTATAAATTGTCCTTCGATAAATCTAAATTTAACACTTTATTACTCATATTTGTCGTTTCGAAACATGACTGTAGGGATGTTGCAGTCGTTACAGTTATCGATAGGTATCTGTAATATCGAAAAGTCATGAATAGTTTAATACATCGATAATGTCATTAAAATTTCGTTGAAGCGAATAGGGCCAGAGCAAATTGTAATACTTTAGAATCTTCAAATTTTCGAACTTAAAGATTTTCAAATTTCCAACCGTGCAAATTTCCAAATTTCTAAAATTTCAAATCTCAGTTCTTCAATTTTCAAATGTTCAAATATTCAAATTCTCAATTTTTTTACTTCTTTAATTTTTAAATTTTTAACTTGGATTAATAACGATACATATACAAGCTTGAATGACAGGATATAGTTGAATTTTAATAAGAAAATCCTAGTGAATGTAATGATGTTCACAGAACTGCATCAACCAAATATAGATTCCTTTGAGAAACAGCACGTGAAGAAATAGTATGTGTATGTGTCAGTTATATTTCTATTTATAATATATGTATAATTTGCACTGCATGAATGTGGAATGGTGAATTAACATGTGTTGCGTTCTGGTTCATTCAAACTCAGTTATTACTCTCTCTATTCGCGTTAACATATCTTAACGATATCCCCTGTACATTGTACATATATCAGTAAGTATTAATTAAGTAGATTAGATATCAATAATCGAAAGTCTCTTCGTGGTTGTTCCGCTTCGATACAAGAGCGTGACATAATTAGTACATTCGCAGCAAATCAATTTGTTGCGATTCTAAAGGTAAAGTTTTTTACCATTTGTGATTAAAAAACGCTAAAAATTAAAAACTATCCCTTACTCGTCATATTGATAAACATATCTAATACAGTCGCAAGTAACTATAAATTTCTTTCACAAAAATATACGCACACTGCTACATCAATGGTTAGGAATGGGAAATGCGATGTAACTTTGAACAATTATTTTTTAGTATCTCATTTCTCACTGCATAGTTATAAAATATTACTTACTACGGTTCAACACTAACATTTAAATTTATCTACTTAATCCTTAATACTAATAAAGTAGATAAGAATAAGTATTGTTCGTATCATAATATAATGGTACTTATAAAGTTATGGTAATAGAATATATAAATTGATATTGCTACATGCTATTGCTAACACCACCGGATATATAAAAGTTAAAAATCAGATTTATTTAAAGTTTTAACATTTTTGTATCAACCGTGAATATAAAACACATAATCGTTGCCCGTGCGTAATAGCTATACGCAGTAAAAATACATTTCATTTTATTACATTTATTGAAATAACTTTGTTGTACATGTCTATCTTGTTTAGTTATCGAGTACGCATATATTTCATATTGAAGGTCACAGTCTTCTTTAATAATATACTTTTAAATCAACCTTGAATATAAAACGTACATATAGTTGTTAACTTTACATAATAATTATGCTCGATAAATTTAATAAACCTTAGAACAGTTCATAATGCGGCATGCAGTTTGGCTGGTAGGTAAATTCATTCATAAATTTTTCGTTTCAATTAATTATTTACCTACGTGCGTTACCATGAGTCATTCCAATAACGTATATAACTCGTCAAGGCCATTTAAATGTTTCGTCGCAAGACGTTTCATCCTCCAAAGTCAAGGGACAATATTCGTCAGCAGTTACCCTTTCCAAATCTCTTATATCAAGTCTGGGTTTAAATGGTAATTCGGATACCAGAATGCCTTCCACCGATTCCTTCTTATCCGCATCTTCATCGAATTCCCAAAAATCGTCGTCCGAAACACGACGATTCTTTCTGACCGATTTGAAGTCCTTCTCAGTTAATATGATCGTCTTCACCTTTCGTTTTTTCGGAATGTTCCTAGGAATGGTCGGTTTCCTATCATATTTAATTCTCTTTCGCGGGCTCTCAGACATCTGGGAGACTGATTGATGATCATCGCGATTCTCCAGCTGTTTGAGGTCACGGTCCTTGTAATTAATAAGTTGTCGAGATTCTTGTTCGTTCTCGGACCACTTCCTACTTTCCACTAGCGCTTCCGTGGCGGTTCCCAAGAATGCATTTTTATCGATGAATCCCACCGCGGTCTCGTTTTCACTAGTGCCACCTGTCACATTCTCGTTCACGAGCGCAGAATCGTTTTCTGCAACTTCGACCGCACACGTGTCTACGTGGTTGGCTTCCTCGATTTCCCGTTGTGGAGCCACTGTCGTTTCCGGCTGCGGCGTGGTAACCACGGGAATCGTTTTATCGGCCAAGTTACCCTGCACGTCGGTCTTCATTCGCGGATTCTTCTTGTATTCTTCCTCTAGATAGCTTCGGAACTGATCCCTGAAGTAACCGTCGATCATTTTCCATACGCTGGTGCTATACCAAGTGAGTATACCGATGAGAAAGACACCGCGTAAAATCATTCCCAGCATGATTGATTCAAGTTCAGATCGACTTATTGCTCAAAAGTCTTGTTCAGTAATGTTGAGTTTTTAGAGAGTTAATTTTTACTTGAGAATATTTAATTCGATGGTATTGTAATTAATATTAAGAAAATAGAGGAAGTTCTTGAGACACTTTTTGTTATTTTTAATCTCGAGAATCGATAGCTTGTCAGTGACGATAGGTACATTTGATACTTGGCGGAAAGGAAAGCGTAAGAAATATTTCTGTTTCGTTATTACATTCTTTGATGCTGAATCATGTTACAGGAATACGGGTGTAGAATTTACACTTGGAGAAACAGTCTGTGTTGCAAGTGTTAGCAGTTTAAAAATGAAGTCTACAAGTAATTGTATACACAAATTGTTTCTCGTTGGTGTACTGATGTAATGTGAAAATATGAGGTATTTTTTCAAGTTCTGTAGGTGTACAGGTTTTGTGTAGATTAATGAATAAATCGATCTAGATTTTATGGACGTGTACAACTTATTCTTCTCCGTAGAAATACTCGTTAAAGGCGGTATAAATTTCTTGCATTTTCGGAAATCCCATTGTAACGAAAACTAAAATGGAATTAGCAATAACAAAGAGTCGCATCATTTCAATTCCGTCGCTAGATCGTAGCCATTCACCGAAACCTTCATTGTGAGCGTCATCGTTTAAAACTACTTTCTTTTTGTCATTCTTTTTCTCATTCTTCTTATCGTCTGTGACGTTTCCTTCATTTTGTCGGTTCTTTCCAGCCTTGCTATCATGATTGCCTCGTTTCTTCATTGCTGTTATGTCGATTTCATCTAAAAAACATTATACTATTATTAGTTAAGTAAATAATCCCAATTGAGAGATTAAACAAATTTATTCTTCATTTTTTGTGTATAAATCAACGATTTTAGCAATGTCTGATATGAATTCTTGTACTTATACATTTTCAAAAATGAATATTTCACGATAACTGATAATTTGATTTCAAAATTACTCTTTTTTCTATTGGTAACTATATTTAAAAAATATTTAATCGATTCATTTGTAAATATTTTCTTCAGGTAACAAGCCTCCAAAAATAATAAAATGGTTTTATTTTATTACAAAATATTAAAAATTTGTCATAATCGATACTTTTGTTAGATATTTCTATTATTTTGACAGTTTTGCAGCTTTTCCTCTGAATCGAAATTACTTAATTTTGTTGTTTTTCTTGTAGTAATGAGTATGTTATTAATTTTTAATTAAATCATCAAGTTACTCGTTTAAATTAAATGAATAAAATATTCATTGGATTGCGTATCACACGAAACTTTTAAAACGGATTGTTTAAATTGTTGAAATTTCTTCAATAATATTGTTATATTAGTTGACTAATATAACTGTGATATATGTCAACTAATATAACAAAATTGATGGAATGATTTTTCTTCCCTTTTATAAATGTGGGAAGATACTCACAGTTAAAATATAACAGTTAAAATATAACACTCACACTTAAAATGAAGTTAAAATATATTCACCGTTTAGTTCTCCACAAGACATGATTTATCACATGAATTTATGTCCATGATTTGCGATATTCTTTTTGAATCGAGGATTCCGTATTAGTCGCCACAAAGATAAATTTCTACATTTCACTTTTTATTATACAGTACTATACTCCAACTCATAATAAAACTACTTTATCTCCTTAATATTGCAGCGCAATATTTAAAAAATTCGTATTTCAGTTGATTGATTGCTGTGTGATATATGTAACAGTATATGTATTTATATCAGTTTAGTAAACTGAATGCATGTAAACAAAATCTACTGGGTGTATATATAGAGTGTGTTAATAAAATAACAATAATAATCTTACAATTATACAAATTTTGTAGTTATATGTTTTAATAAATAAAGCGAACAAATATTATATTGGCAATTTTAAAGTTATTAACGTTTAAAATGAATATTATCAACATCAAAGTTATCTGATATTTTTTGTTATCATTTTTATGTTTAATATTAATATTGTATGTATTTTATTGTATCATTCTTCATACGTTTTTCATATACATACATTTGATGTATTAACATGTGTATACACTTTTCATAATAGTCAAGATTGTTGAAACAAAAATTATTAAAATGAATACAGTTTGTTCTATCTTCAAAACGAAACAATAACTACAAACTGCGATGAAGTGTTTTTAAACTACATATCCATATCATGATAAAAAAGTGTAATGATAAGAAATACAAAATTGAACACTGCAATAGAGTAGTAGACACCGGGTGTTTATGTAATTGCATTCATTTATATAAAATAGGCAAAACTGTGATATATAGACAGAAATTCGTCTCGTGATCTAATCATAAAAGTGTATTGTTTATTTTGCATTTTTTACATATTTACATGTAATCACATATGAAATAATATATTACATATGCTGTTTGCCGTGCATATTTAAACTATCTGTTTCACAAAATTAATTTCGTGTAGTAAACTTCTATCATAAATATGTAACGTCCATAATAGGAATATGTAATCACTTCCAATTATAAACCATATTAAACCATGTTTTGTGATATCGAGTTGCTAATTAAGCGTTAAATGTGACAATTTCTGTTCAGAATTTAATTAGTTCAGTTTGATTGTCGTAGTTAACACGATCGATGTATAAAAGTGAATACGTAAGTATTTAAGCGTTTTCTCGTTTTATTAATAACTTTAATATTAATGCCCTGAAAAATAAGTAAGCACAAACTGTTTGAAATTTAGACAAAATGCTTATATTGCGAATTGCAGTATATTATAATAATTATAGAAAGTATTATACATATTTGACTTATACATGAAATTATATATGCTTGTGATTTATGCTTGTATATTTTATATACATAATATAAATGTCATACATTTGTCTCATATTTATGACATAAATATTTAAAGTTTAATAATAAATGATTATAACGGATTGTAAATGTAAAAGATTATATATTGGCTGTAATATGATAAATATTTTGATATATAATCATTCGATAATAATTAGCACTTTGCATCATCCACATATGGACGATTAATATTGACCCATATATGGGCGAACATTAAATTTTCATACGAATCTGTCACCTATATCAGTGGCACCAAATATTTCCAGAAATGAATACGATTTAAATTTTTAAAAGCACGGGGATCGAATGTAAATCTTTGAAAGGTCAGATCCGACCTATTTTATTAAATATTTGTTCACTCACCTAACTGAAAATACTTATAATAGCTGCTTGTAGCTACGAATAAAAAATATATAATAAAATATTGGGAAACTATTTGACAAACTTTGTTAAAAACAAAATTGCTACCTAATAAAGTTCGACAGTTTCAGTGTGCAGTATCGAACAGAATTCTCGTGATTTAAATTGAAAATGTAGGAAGAAATTACTACTACATGATCAGTTACGACCGTGTTAATTATTGCTTTCAATCTACTAGTCCCTAATGAAATTTCTTCGATTATCCCGAAATTGGTGTATTGCGATGACGCGTTAAACGGGATGACAGTTTCCAAGTAATCGATCCAGGCGAAATGAACGGGATTCAAGTACACCCACGCTCCCTCTTGTCTTCGAAATGTCAGCCGGTCCACGTGCATTAGTTCGCATGTACCAATGACAGTGGTATATTTCAGACATTCCAGCACGTATAAAAGATACGAGTGCTCGAGTGAGTGCGATGACCGTGATCTGACGTGCATACATTCGTACATGATTCACTTGCGCGTGCACAATGCCGCCTGGAAAATGCACCTCTCCAAGACGGAGTTTTAGGACGACCAGCAAAAAGTGTGGAGAGTATTTGCTTCTGCAATCGTACATACTTCTTACAGATACAAAGATTTGTTATCTAGATTGCAGCAGGCATTATGTTCTTGCTAACAGACAGTATATTTGCGAAACATTTGACAAAAGTTTGTTAACTTTTGTATGGCGGTAATATATACCTTATATTAAAGAGTATATGTACCATAAAATTAAACTGTTTCTCTTTTTAGAGTTCTAAATTTTCAAACTTCCAAGCTTAAAAGTTTTAAAGTTTTTCACAGCTTAATCTTTAAATTTTTTAATTAAAAAATTTCTACATCGCTAAATTTTTATAAGTAGTTTGAAATAGTTCTAAATTTCGAAATTTACAATGTTCGCAAATTTTCAATCGTTTACACTTTCCAACTTTCTTTTCAATTTTCCACACTTCCAAACTGTCAGATTATTAATTATTTAAATATAATAATTTTTGAAAATTATTATTTTAACATTTCTAATCTGCCTATTTCAGAAGGTAAATACTTAAATTTTCAAATTTCTAAATTTTCAACTTCCGATTGTTAAAAATGTCAAATTAAAACCATCTGACTTATCGAGATTTAATTTTCTCTTATCAGTAAATACATATAAACTGACAAAGCAAGTTTTCAGAAACTGTAAAAATCTACAGGAAATAAATTGTAACGACAAAACATTCGTTTCTTATAAAATAAATATTTATACTAAAATTTTGTAAATGGGTATTCGCATTTACTTTAATGAATGAAACTCTTGCTGATTTATTTTTGTTGTTTGCCAATCGTAGAATTTTGCATTTATCGCGAAGAGACACATTTGAAGAACAATCTGAACGCTTTTCTCACAATGATTACGTCTTTCGCTAACATAATCGGCAATGGCATTATTTGAACAAACTATTTGTTTGGAACGTATAGCCATAACCTTTGCCTTCAATGCGAAAAGCTTCGATCATGGCTACTTTTCTCTCCGAAAGTTCTTTTCCACGGGGCATTTCACGTTCTAACCCTTATAAACGAATCTTATGAACGTAAAATGAAACAGATGAAAGTAACATGCTAAATTTGTTTACTCATAAACCTCGATTGGCGCTATGCAAAGAGAATCGAATGTAGATTGAAACAATTGAAGGTAACGTAATTAATTGGTTTACTCATGAAGCTCGATTAGCGCCAGTATAAAGAGAATAATATAAGGTTGAAATACATATTTATAAAACGACTGCAAATCAGATTTTATGTAACGTAGTTTAATATTAACATTAATACATCAATTTTTCTTTACACATATTGTCCTTTACTTATTTTATTACAATTCTGGACTGCAATTTGTTATCTACTAAAAGCTTAGATTTTTGGGAATATGAGCGGTCGTTATGCAGTGGACCGCACATATTCATTTACTTACTACATTCAGTAGGTGAAAGTAAAGTAGTATGTGAATGAAAAATGAAAATAAAAAAAAAAAAAGAAAAAAAAAGATTGGCTAAGATTCGTAATATATGTATATTACATATAATGAAGAATTAAACAAAATATGCTATAGCTGGAAACTCGAATACAAAATTCTTCTTCCATTTAAGAAGTACAGAAATTATTATTTTTACTCCTAATACCAAGTATAATATTCAATAGAGGCTTTTAAATGTGTAGGTATTAATTTTATTAACTTTTTCGTAAAATCTGGTATTACTTCTTTTCATTAATCTACATATCGTTGTTTTAGTTCAACATGATTTCTCGGCGGTGAGTTGCGAATATTTTTTTTTATTTCCGCCAAAAAATGTTCAATGGGATTTGTATTTGATGACTGGTGTGATGTTTCTAAATAATGTGGAATATTATACTAATAATGTGGAATATCTATTCTTTAACAATCGCGGCTTTGTCCTTTGGTTCATTGTTCTGTTGGAAAATATAAGAGCAAGCGGACAATGATCAGAATTGGTTTAGGACTACCATAAATTAAGGAGTTCCTCAGAGTGTTTCGGGACCAGATTTGAAGGAGACTCACAAGTTGATAGTTTCCAGGCCCGCAGTACCGGCGAGATTGTTTTTCCCGAAAATGCGAAGTGGGGATGCGTTCCCTATAAAATTTTGGGAAAAGTACGAAGACAATGCATCATGTGGACGACTATTTTAGAAAACGTGAAAAGAGAAATCGGACGATAATAATTTTTGTTAAACTGTCCTGTGTGAAATATAGCCATCCTTACAAAAATGAAGTTATCTTTAATCCCAAAATTGGGAATTTCATACAACATCATTTTATTTTGTGAGAATAGAGCTTTATTGTTATTTTTTTTTTTTTTCAAACTTCACTCACGTATTCTATACGTATACTAAATGCGGTATGAGTACTTATGCGGCCAACTGTATTTACGTAACACACTACACTGCTGGCCAAAATTAACGCACCACTTTCTTTAGCCGTTTCTTTCTTTACGTTCAGTTGGAGGTAGGATTTTGAAATTTTGAGGATAGTTGGGCCCATGGGTTATCTCAATGCTCCAGGAGTGCCATTTCTTCCTGCCACCCCCTTGCGGTATCGGCGACCCTTTGAATGCTAGGGGGTTGAAAAACCGAAAAAAAAGGCTCTAAATTCGACAGAAAAAAAGAAAAAATCCGAAATTTTTTTACAGAATGAGGTTTTTTAGGTTGCGTCCTTTCCGAAAATGCCCGGCTCAACCGCCTGCGACACCCCCAACCCCTTCCCAAAGG